TAATGTCTATCTACAAAAGAAAAACTACTGATATAAGAGGAAAAGGGGACACAAAAAGAAATAATCACATATTATAATTATCTTATATCAATTTATCCTAAGGTTCTAATTATGACAATATCAGTAATTTTACATTTATTATACTAGTTTTATTTTTAGGAAATATGTTCAATGTATATCCACAAAGTAAGGTACACCTACTTGCAGAAACGTTGTCACAGAAAATAGAACATTTGAATTTAGGAAAAAGGAATAAATTAAAACAAGACAAAAGAAAGCGTTCAGMCTCAGTGATCTTCYTTTGTCTTTTTAATTTATTCCTTTTTACTAAAATACAAATGTCTTATTTTTATGACAACGTTTTCGCAAGTAGGTGTATTCCACATATAASAATATCTTCTAAGCTTTTATTAAGATATTATTAAGTCATTTATGATAAAATTAATCAAACAAACAAACAAACGATTGTTTTGGTCAAAATAACTTGCAAATTTTATGTCTGATGTTGTGAGATACCATTATCGATACCATTATCGAATTCATATCCATGAACGTTTTCTAGTCGATTCACCAGGCTACCGTTAAGTTCCACTTGCGGTCTTAACAAAATAAATACTTATTTTGACATTAACAAATAAATACTTATTTATAACAACTGTTTCGCACACAACACGTTTCAGTTAGCTGTGTTTCAAGGTCTCATAGGATTCTAAGACATTCCAAATAACTTAGGGTTACCATTTTAAAGGCCGTTTTTTTTTACACTGTCTTGCTTGAGTTATGTACTAAGCCAAAGTCTAGCTACAGCTTGTGACTTATTGTGACCCCTCTTATCAATACGAATATTCCATTAAGTTGTCCGCCGGATAAGAGCTGTAAGTAAGACAGTATATAACGAGACTACAAGGCACCTTGTTCATTTAAGTTTCCACTTTATCACCTAGGATATCCCCACGTGGCTTATATCGCTGTAATATTGCACCAATTTTCAATCAGACTCCTCCTTTGTAACTTGTTACACTTCTATACATACCCCAAAACGCCTTTCGTTGGTTTAAAGCCCTGTAGCAACATTTATTTTTAATAGTCCTTCTAATATAACTTGATAGAAAGTTAGCTCTCTATTAGAGCTATCTTCTGTCTTAATTTCATCTTTGATCTCGGACCGAAAAAAAAAATGGGATATTATTACAATGGTGAACCGATCTATATTGTGTATATAAGTGCACCGGGGGCATTGTTCTTAGCTTCAACTGGGATTACACTAAAAGATGTATGGAGCTTATTAACGTATCTGGAAGAATGAATTATGCAAAATATAATATGGATGTCAAAAATCTGTGATGAGACAACATTTCAGACTTACGCAATTTGCCACCAACTGACTGAGATATGCTCGGTTGACATTATACGGATTTGATGAAAGGATACAGGGAACTCCTATCAATACCCGAATGACTGATCATTATTCCTGACACATTTTCGGATTTGAAAGTCTCCATGTTTCACCGGAGCATATAATGATGGAATCCATTGACGGTGGTATTTCCCACCAAGAGGTAGAATGTTGTATGGCTTCTTAGGAAAAAGGAATCCCATATGAAGGAAAAATAGGAAAAATTTTAAATCATCGTATTTACAGCGCTGTTAAAATCATTTGCTTTGTGACTATATGCTTTGTATGAACGAAGTATGTATGCATAATGTAAAGTGTTTTGTGCAGCTGTGACATCATGGATGGAATTCTATTTCTTTCTTTCTTTTTTTTTTTTTTTTTTTGACGAGCGGTGCCTGTTGTATCTATTGAGGTAGATTGATGTTGTTACCACTCGTTGTGACAGGGATCTCACATATGGCTAGGTTTGATATGGTGAGAGGGTGATCCTATATTAAATTTCAGGGACAGATTTTGAACCGACTTCGGCCCAAGATAAAGGTATCAACACAATGAAATTTTCCACATGAAGTAAATCTGTAGAGTACTAAAGTGTGAGGTCACAGAAATAGTTTTTCTCAATTTTTTCGGATTCGTTGACATATCCTTAAAGCGCATGGAAAAAAGGAGCTATCTACCAAATTTCAGTGTCCTAGTGCCATTTATAGCGGAGATACAAGCGATTTTGTGGTCGGATGACCACATACAAACTCTTGTAAATTTGGTATTGTTCCTTTCGTTATGAACAAGACCAAATTTACACGCGTTTGTATGTGGTCGCCCGACCATAAAATCGCTTGTTTCTTCGCTGCAAATGACTCTAAGACACTCATATTTAGTAAGGATGTATTAAAAATGATGCACTTTCAGAATATGGAGGGCAAATTTCAAAACTCAAACATTTTCGTTTTGTGACGCCATCACTTTAGTACTCTATTATTGTCCGATAGATACAAATGGAGTTTCGAATTTTTACTGGTGGTATCCAGTTGTTCTATATCGGCCATGTATAAAATAGAATTAAATGATAAAAAAATAAAAAAAAGCACTGGAATACGTCCCGTACCTTCCATTCTCTAGAAAACCTCAAAAGAGCTTTGAATACTTTTTTTTTACCCAGAGTACCCCGGTAGACTTCCAAGTTGTGCATAGTTACTATACGGGAACCTTCCGCAAAATAGGATATGGATTTTGTGCTTGGTGTTTTGTATACGGTATAGAGATATCAACTTAACGTCCATGTTCAAATCTGAAGTACCCGACCCTTTCGTCTCGTGGATGAATAACATTTTTTTACGATTCCATGACATCAATCGTGGTAAATAAGACATATACCACGAAAAGCTATCAAAAATTTGTTAAAACTAGTGCATAGATTATGTATCTTTTATCCACAGTGTAATAATTTGAATTCAACTTCTATGCTCGTTAATCAGCAATTTATCATTCATTCCTTACCTGGATGCACGTACATATTTCAAAGACATTTTAGGTGATGGTTGTGCTGTTTCACGTGCGAAATTTCACTTGGTTTGGTTCATTTAGAGTGAAAATGGAAACTAAATGATGTTTCCTACAGACTATCGTACAGTATAAATCAGTTATTATTTATTTCCCACCAATTAGAAAATCCCATGACTCCTTTCGGCCGTACAAGCTCCGTCCGACAATTAACAATCGCAATTTAAAATTTTTATCCAGAACGTTTGTTGAAATTAATAGATATATTCAAAATATGGGTTTCCAAATTACCTTTTAAAAGATCGATTTAATTCAGGATCATTGTCTTTTTTGACGAGTTTTTATCTTCTTTCGTTTTTAACACCCTAGCTGTGAGATGTCACTTCACTCAGTCAATTATATTGCAGTATACTCTCTATATTTAAAATGTCTGACCTTAACAAATAATGGGTCTGCAATATTCAACAGGACTCTATCTGATTCCACCAGTTCCTTTTCATGAATTAGCAGGTAAATTATTTTCTTTTGGATATGAATTATAAAATCTCACGAATGTATTTTAAGCATTAGAACAATTAAACTCTCATATCATTATCAGGTACTTTGATACTGCAAAAGCCTGCTTTGCCACTCTACGCCATACTTTTGCTGGCTAGAAAACGAATAAAAAAGCACTTCAAAGAAATGTATGTTTACGGTATATATCTCACAGTAGAGTATCACAGAGAGTATATGATAATATTTTACTATTGAAACTCGAAAATGGTAGTGTTTCAAGGATTTCAAGAGGTAAACTATTCCAAACCACAATTCAGTTGTAGCTATTATTGACTATGACTATGATTGCAGTTTATATAAAAAAAAACACCACCCAAAAATAATGACGCAAAATTTAATAATTTCCACTTATATATTTGAGCAATCTTCATCATGACGCACATGATCAAGCTGCCAATGGCAAATTATAAGTCGGAGATTGTGGGGTGATTTTTGCGAAAAAAAATAGCACTAACAATAGTTGAAATCCAAAGCACAACAAAAAAATCGGTAAATTGCGAAATTTAGATATAAAGGCGCCTTACATGTGACCAAGTAGCCTAATCCAATTGACCTAATAGCCCATTAGTTATGGATGAGTTTATGAGAAAATAAAACTGAACCAATCAATATCATAGTTACTTACACTCGGAATCAATCGTTATTTTTTGAAGTGTCATCGGATTGGTTCCTGCCAATCGCTGCTCAGCAAAGTATTTGTCAGAAATCCAGTCTTCAATATCGTTATTGAAACTGTCTTCGTCTAAGGGGATCCTCATTAAACCCTTCAAAGAAATAGCAGTATGCATTATTTGTATAGTTTTCATCAGCTCTGATAACAGCTAAGATTTCGATGATAGTTACAGAACACCCAGCACAAAATACAAAATACGAAAATTAGTCATTTTATTGTGGAGGGCATAAAAATATTGAGATAAACAATAAACAATCCAATTGAGTGGTGGATTTGTTGATCCAAATATATGTATTTTTTCGAGCGTGAACGATTCAACAAAAAATATGTACGGTTTTATTTAGATTCAGTTTTCATTGTCTTCTTTATTTAAAGGGGAAAAATATTTTTACAATACAATAAGAATCTAGCACCGGATATTAAGTGAGAAAAAGAAGGTGGGACAATTCCCTACCCCCCTGAATCCGCCCCTTACACAGAATTTGAAAATCTTACCAAGCCCGGAGAGTATCAAATGCAGCCGGATTTTAGATCACATCACATCACATCTGTCTAGTTTAGTTAGCAACACGGCTTGCAACAAGGACAAGAATGTGCGTACCTTAAGAAGATTTTGTCTTGATTGCAAACCTGTCTTAAAGAATTTTCTCATAGCTTGAAACTCTGACATATTCATCGCTTTTGGTAAAAACACCTTATCATAAAATGCCTGTCTTGACTCTACAAAATTGATATGTTGTCTCCATGTTAGAGCATGTTGAAAAAGGAATGGATCGGTGAGTAGGAACCGTTTGTAGTCTGCCGGTGTGGTTTCAAGTCGGTTGAATAGAAAATCTTTAGTGCCCTGCTTAAGGCCTTGAAATCAAATCCAACTGCCGCTTGCGATAACACTGTGAGTCCYATGGTACATCCTGAGGAAGACTGATAGGACATGTTGCTGTTGGATCGGGAGTCTCGATTGTCTCGCTGAAAAAGGAAAGTACATCATTTTTTCAGCAAATTAATCAACTTACAGCCAGAAATTACTTCGTTAATTTAGACTTCATTTGGATTTTTTAATGGACAAAATTACCTGAAAATCCCACAAACGAAAGCAAATAATATCAGGCAGTGTACGAACAGCATCGTTTTTTGAGACCTGTGGATGTCCAGTAAAGTAAAACCAAATTAATAATAATTAATTATATTCTTCATTATCAAACGACATTATCAACTAATATGCAAACTAATATCTACAAACCTAACTTTTTTTAAATCGTAGCTATTTGTCTTCGACAACAAATAACGAAATATCTGAGCAAAGACTATTTTTAAACAATTCAAGAATATATGGAATTCTAGATTCTAAGATACCATCATGGCTTTTAAAACTTTTTGGAAAGGACTTGCGCCATTTGATTTTTTGCATCTTGAAAATTCATGGTTTCAATGAAATCTGTCACTTCGAACACATATATATATGACGACAAAGTTACTATATATGAATACAAATACTTTTTGTTCCTTTGTTTTTTCAAAACCAATACCTTTTACTTGCTTATTCGGTTGCTGGAATTGTTTGCTAGTCGTAAAGTACAATCAAGAGCAAACCCAACAAAAGAAAATGAAGAAAAAGGCTTTGAGTGGAACAGTCAAATATGAAAGATGGATGAGTAAATTGTGGTTTCAAAAGCAGCGAGAGTGACATAAAGATTTCGCCAAAAAAAATGGAATGAAGGATGATCCTTGCTATTGGTTAGTCTGACTGGTGCAAATGGTTCAACCTGTTTATATGTCATCGAGTTGATCTTCACTGATGTGGAGAGGAACACGTGGAAATACGTTAACAGCAAAATACGATAACACAATTTGTTTGTTTTTTTATTTCTAAATAGTCTAATGATCTGTTTATGAACCTGGATGCATTAAAATATGCAGGGTCCAATGGACTACTACTTACTGAACATTACTGGACAATATCGGCAGCCATTTTATAGGAGGGGGCAAGAATGTAAAAGAAGACACATGGTTTTTCACAAAATTAATTAAAAAAAAAAATTCACAAAGAAACTAATAAACTGAGATAGACATAAAAGCCCTTACCCCCGACTATGTTTCTACAACCCGATATTTGTAAATTATTTTGCATTCATTTACTACCTGGACATCCCACAAGTCAATAGCTTGTGATTTGAGATGTCCACTGTATAACAGAAATATGATGTTCTATATATACTATTATTTTGATTTATAAATTTCCTAAAACTGTATCTTTTGTTCAGTTGAATGAATCAATGTCAACTGCAGGGGGGAAATATTTACACATTTCCCCTAATTTTCTTAATAGTCTAAGCATTTTGCTTAATCTCATCCTGGCAGCGAAACAGACATACTTCGAAGTTCTCATTTAAACTCTCATGATAGTATTTGTTGTTTTGACAAATAGCTTTCGCCGAGACCTCAAATAATCTTGTAACAGCCATAAACTTTACAAATGTAAATCACTCCAACATAAAGATTTTCGTACGTACAGGCCAGGGACTACCAAGAATAGTGAAAACTAGTTTCGTTTATTAAAACCTCTTCAGTTCAATATATGTTTTACAACAGTTGAAGAAAAATTCGTAAACAAACATTGATGGGTAGCGCGCACTAACGGCGCGCGCAGAACAGAATCGAACAGAGCAGCGAGGCGACAAACAAGCAATACAGCAACCTAACAACAACAGTAGGAGAGGGCTGAGGTCTCTGAGAGAAAAGTGTAGAAACAGTGATGTGGTGGTTTTCCAAACGGATAAATCTGGAAAGTTTACACACCCTCCAATTACATCAGTGCTAGTGAGCCGCATGTGCTGAAGGACACGACACTAACAGAACAAGAATATGATGGTCTTGAAACACTCATGAATGCCCACTCAACCATGTGCACAAGAATATTGGCTGCGGGTAAACATACCAACTGTATATCGAGGATAAAGAGCAAAATGACGGTCAGCAGATGCCCCCTAGCGCCACTGTATGCTCTGAGAAAAGACCATAAAGTGTATGAGGACTTCATCGCTGGACCTCCTGTTAGACCTGTGTGCGGAGTAGTGGTATCGTACAACCAGCACCTATCTTATCTTCTAAGTTCAATACTGACTGAGTTGTGGAGAGATGAAGCCAGTGTGTGTATGAGTACCGAGGAGATGGCTGCAGGAATAAGAGAAGTGAACGAGATGAAGCTTGAAGAAGACCCTATCATTGGATTAGCTGATGTAAAAGCTTTATATCCAAGCCTGGATATCGACTTCACAGTTGAAAAGGCATGTGAGCTTTTCCAGGAGAGCGATGTACGGGTAAAGGGTTTGAATGTAGATGAGCTCGGACTGTACCTAGCGCTTAATCGCAGCGAGAACTACTTGAATGAACAGGGCCTATTAGACTACTGTCCTACCAGAAAAACGAACCGTTGATCACAGGATGCGGTGTAGAAGAACGGAAGAACAAACGATTCACTGCATGGAGAAAGACTAAGGAGGTAGAAGAAAGACTAAGGATGAGAACATTCAGCATAAGATGTTGACTGAGGCAATGAAGGTAGTGCTGTTGTTCATCATGAATAACCATTTGTACACGTTTAACCAGGAGGTAAAGAAACAGAGGAAAGGTGGTGCCATTGGGTTGGAATTAACTGGAGTCCTGGCTCAACTCTTCATGATATGGTGGGACAGGGAACTTCGGAGTAAGACCAGAGGCTTAGGAGTAAAGCTGCACATGTATCAGAGATACGTAGATGATATCAACATAGTCATGGAAGTGCCTGAGCCTGGAACAAGATACGCTGATGGAAATTGTCTATAATAGAGTATGAAGTAGAAGGAGACAAACAAAAGAGTAACGATAAAATATCAATGCGGTTACTACAGGAAATTGGAAACCGAATCCATGAATCCATCGAGATAACAGTTGACTACCCATCCAAACACGATGGCGGCAAACTACCGATACTGGATTTAAAGGTATGGATTGAAAAGAAAGATGATGAAGTTGATGGTAACATCGTTAAGCACAACTGTATTCTACATGAATTCTATTCAAAAGAAGTGTCTTCCAAGTCAATCATTCATGCTAGATCAGCATTATCATGACCTACTAAACGTACAATACTAACTCAAGAAGTGTTTTGAAGAACTGCAGCCCTGGGTTGCCATGGGAGTAAACGGTTCGACATCTAAACATGATGAGCATGAGAATGCAGTTTTCTGGCTACAACAAGAAATTCAGGTATGAAGTATTTGATTCTGCGTTAAAGGCATACAAGAACATGAAGTCCAAAGATCAAGCAGGAAAGGTCCCTCTGTATAGACCAAGAGAATGGAGGAGAAAAGAAGGAGAGAACGAAAAACGAAACAAGAGGAACAACTGGCACAAGAAAGGTGGATATAGCAGTGTAGTTTCTACTAAGACGAGTGAAGCCGTACTTATAAACAAAGTGAAGGCTGAAATGAACACGAAGAAAGAGTGGAACTTTGCTAATATCCCGCGTGCAAGAATTAATTAATTAAKTAATTAGTTGTTTTGTATGCGCGCTCAACTTTCTCGTTTTGTGTTGGTACGCGCGCCGTTAGTGCGCGCTACCCATCAATGTTTGTTTACGAATTTTTCTTCAACTGTTGTAAAACATATAGTGAACTGAAGAGGTTTTAATAAACGAAACTAGTTTTCACTATTCTTGGTAGTCCCTGGCCTGTACGTACGAAAATCTTTATGTTGGAGTGATTTACATTTGTAAAGTTTATGGCTGTTACAAGATTTTTTGAGGTCTCGGCGAAAGCTATTTGTCAAAACAATAAATACTATCATGAGAGTTTAAATGAGACTTAACAAAAAAAAGTTTGCCTATTTCTTCGAAGTATGTCTGCTTCGCTGCCAGGATAAGATTAAGCAAAATGCTTAGACTATTAAGAAAATTAGGGGAAATGTGTAAATAATTTCCCCGTGCAGTTGACATTGATTCATTCAACTGAACAAAAGATACAGTTTCAAGAAATTTATAAATCTAATAAAAGTAGAAAACCTAGTTACAAGTTGCGTGGCTTTTTCTTCAATTTATTCTATTTCTAAATAATAGTATATATAGAACATCATATTTCTGTTATACAGTGGACATCTCAAATCACAAGCTATTGACTTGTGGGATGTCCAGGTAGTAAATGGATGCAAAATAATTTACAAATATCGGGTTGTAGAAACATAGTCGGGGGTAAGGGCTTTTATGTCTATCTCAGTTAATTAGTTTCTTTGTGAATTTTTTTT